CCCCAAGGGCGAAAACGAGGGATCGGCAGCGGTATATCGGCACCTTCTCCTCCCCCGATCCTCCTCTTCCCGCCAGGGGGGAGGAGGATCGGGGGGAGGAGAAGAGAACACAAAAGCAGAACGAAAGCAAAAAGGCAAGGGCAGAAACGGGAGGGAGGAGAAGAAAACACAGAACAACAGCAACCATTCCCCCCCCCCCCCAGGGGCGCTCCGTGAGGGAGCCGACGCCGCCCTCGCCGAGCCGGGCCGAGGCGGCCCCGCGCCTGGCGGCCCGGCGCCCACGGCCGCCGCGTCCGTGGAGGCGCTGCTGCGGCAGGCCTCGGGGGAGCACGCGCGCCAGACCGCGTCGCTGCGCGCCGAGGTGGCGCGCCTGCGGGCCGAGCTGCGGGCGTGGGAGCCTCGAGGGGAGGCAAGAGGGCACGGATGGCCGCCACGCTCTTCCCGCGTGCTCCCCTGCTTGGACCTCCCCGGGGGCCCTCGGTCGCCACCGCTGGAGTCGCCGCGAGACGCTGGGCGGGGCGCACCCCAGGAGAGGTCCGGGGAGCAGCGGTATCGATGCCTTGTTCTTGGCATCGCTCGGACGTGTGCATTTTTCTCTCGGCGAGGACCATCGAGGAGCATCCTTCATCACTTGGCGGAAAAACCACGCACGAAACCGAGCAAAGCACAGGAAATGGACGTCCGAGCGATGCCCAGTGCCTTGTTGGTTTCCCCAGGAGGCGGAGGCTGCGAGCAGGTCGGGAGAAGGAGAAGCTCTGAGCCTCCCAGCCGGGGGATAGGAGGGGCACGTTCCGAGGGGGCCGTTCTGAGGGAAGCGGGTCCTGAGGAGTTTCGCCGTCTTGGGCCTTTTGGGCCCCTTTGGGGCCCTGCTGGCTCCAAAAGGGGCTCGAAAGGGCCCCTTTCGGGCCATTTTCTTCACTCCCCATTTAGGTCACCCCCCATTTACACTCGCCCGAGAAGGATAAGCTCTAGGCCTCCCAGATGGGGTCGAGGTAGATGGGGTCGGAGGATCGCGCCGCATCGCCGATGCATCGGGGATGCGACTCGATGTGGAGTCCGAATGTGTCCACGCCGGCGTCGCCGATGCGTCGCCGACGTCGCCAATGCATTGCCGATGCATCGTCGATGCATCGCCGATGTATCGGCGATGCGGCGCGATCCTTCGACCATCTCCGACCCCACTTGGGAGGCTTCTAGGGCAGGAGAAGCCCCGACCCCCTGGCGTGGTGGAGAAAGTGCGACGGGAGGTTTTTACGATGTTCAGCCTGCGGGGGGGGGGCTTGCTGGGCCTCGGGGCCCCTCAAACACGGCTGTTGGATGAGGAATTGGCCCCGGGAATGGCTCGAGACCTTTGGCCCCAAACGTCGGGCGTCTGGGGAGAAGGGTGGGGCTTCGGGGAGAAGGCATTTCTGGACTCCCAGGTCCCAATCTACCTTAGGCGCCTTCCTACTTGAGGGCGGGCGGAAGCCCGTCCCTCTTCCTTCGCCTTCCTCTTCAGAGGGCGGGCGGAAGCCCGGTCTACAGTGGAAACCCATGTCAAGCAACACCCTGCGTGCCTCCAGGGTGCCCTGGGTGTCTTGCGTTTCGATAGTTTTGCTTTGGAAGGCGTGACGTTCCCATACCAAAAATCAATGGACGTCCTGGGGTCTCAGGATTGGGTTTCTTGTGGAAGGTTTCTTGTGGTCGGGCCTCCACTGTACTTCCAACGCATTCTACTCCATGTTTCTCAGGGTACTACCCACATCTTCCGACCGACGGGTGCACGCACTCACTTCTATACCCCTGGGTGGGTATGTGCGGTCGTTTTTGCGCGGGCATGTGCGTGCATGTGCGCAGCATGTGCCAGGCATGTGCCCGGCATGTGCGGGCGCTGTTGGATGAATGCGCCACTGTGCGCACGTGCCCGGGCATGTGCGGGGTTATGTGCACTGGGTTTTGCTGCACGCATTGTAACGCGCATGCCCGCGCATGCCAACGCACATGCCCGCACATGCGGAACTTGTGCGAACGTCGCAGATCGGTCAATGGCACATACACGCACATGCGCTGAATCCCGCGCCCGCAGATGCTCGCACATGCCGATGCACATGCACGCACATGCGTTCTCGGAATTCCCAGGGCTCCTTACTACAAGGGCCTTCAGCGCTTCGTGACCTTCGGGGCCTGGGGGGGTCCCAACGTTTCCCGCGGAAATCAGGCTCTGGCCTCGGAGATGCCGTGCCCTATTGTGGTAAGGCCACTTTGGCTTGAGGCATTCTCGCAACGCTGACCTCCGAGATGCCGTGTCACATGGTGGTCTGGTTATGTTCGCGTGAAGCATCCTCGCAATTCTGGTCAAGCCACTGTCGCCTGAGACATCCTCGCAACTATGGCTTCAGAGATGCCCTGAGCTCAGTTGCGCCTGAGACATCCTCGCAACTCTGGATTGCAAGATGCCTGACTTGCGGTGGTCAGCCCACGTTGGCAGTGTGGTCTGAACTCTGGTTTCCGAGATGTCCTGAGAGGTGGTCAGGTCACTTTCGCCAGAGACATCCGCGCAATTCCAACCTCAGAGATGCCCTGCGCTGAGGTTGTCAGGCCACTGTCGCCTGCGACTGCGACATCCTCACAACTCTGGGTTCAGAGATGCCCTGTTGTTCATCCGAATTTGCCTGAGACATCCTCGCAGCTCTGGTTTCCGAGAAGCCCTGCGCAGGTGGTCAGGCCACCCTAGCCAGAAATATGCTCGCAACTCGGATATGCCCTAACCTGCGGTGGTCAGGTCACTCTGGCATGAGACATCCTTGCAAGTCTTACCTCGGAGATGCCCTGCCCTATGGTGGTCCAGCCGCTTTCGCCTGAGACATCCGCGCAACTCCGGGTTCTGTAAGGCCACTGTCGCTTGAGACACCCTCGCAATGCTGACTTTGAGTATGCCCCCACACGAGGTGCCAACAGTCCTTGGAGGCCTCGATCTACGTGAGGGCTGTGCCGAAGCAGGCGTCTTGAGTTTTCTGGGGGCGTGCTGTCCCATAGGACGCCTCGCTGTCTCACGAGACGCCTCATGTTTATTTTGAATGTGAGCTTGGTGTCCGTTCGGGGTCGTCGCTTGCCTGGCCCGGCCTGTGCAAATGCTGTGCGTGGCTGTGCGGCGCATGTGCGGAACGTGCAACACAGCGGGTGCCGGCCAGGCCATGGTCGGGTGGGCAGGATTCCGAGATGCCCAGAGCTCAGGTGCTCCATCCATTTTCGCCTGCGGCATCCCCGCAACTCTGACCTCGGAGATGCCCTGCCCCATGATGGTTTGGGATTTCCTGAACTCAGGTAGTCAGGTCATCATCACCTTAAACATCCGCGCAACTCTGTGTGACCAGAGATGCCCTGCCACATGTTGGTCTGGCCAATTTCGCCTGCGACATCCTCGTAGCTCTGGTTTTCCGAAATGCCCTGCGCTGAGGTGGTCAGGCCACGTTCGCCAGAGACATCTTCGCAACTCTGACCTCGGAGATGCCCTGCCCCATGATGGTCCAGCCACTTTCGCCTGAGACATCCTCGCAACGGTTCCGAGATGCCCTGAGGAGGTGGGCAGGCCACTTTCGCCAGAGACGTCCTCGCAATTCTGGCATCGGATATGCTCTGAGCTGAGGTGGTCAGGCCACTGTCGCCTGAGAAATCCCCACAACTCGGACCTCGGTGACGCCCTTGCCCATGATGGTCTGATCACCTTCGCCCGAAACATCCTCGCACCCCTGGGTTCCGAGATGCCCAGCGCTGAGGTGGTCAGGCCATTGTCGCCTGAGACAACTCCGCAACTCTGGCCTCGGAGATGCCCTGAACTCGGGTGGTCCATCCACTTTCGCCTGCGGCATCCCCGCAACTCTGACCTCCGAGATGCCCTGCCCTATGGTGGTCCAGCCACTTTCGCCTGAGACATCCTCACAACTCTGGGTTCCGAGATGCCTTGCGCTCAGGTGGTCAGGCCCTTTTCGCCTGAGACATCCTCGCGTAATCCACATCACCGGAGCGCTGACCCCATCCTTGTGCTGGATTGGTGTTATATCATACCACATCCTTTATGCGGGTATGGTGTTTCAGTTTGAGTGCCAGCCGCATTAGCTCCCTTCGTTCCCTTCGCTTCTCCCCTCATTCCTCTTTCCTGCTCATTTGTCCCTCCCTCATCCTCCGATGTGTCGACTCTGCGGCATGTGCGCGCATGTGCGTTTTATGTTTTCAGAGTTTTGCCAGACTCTGCATCCGATTGTGCATCGGCCTGTGCGGCATGTGCCTGCATCTGCGGCAGTGCTGTTGAGGCTTCTGTGGAGTTGCATGGGCATGTGCATTCGGCTGTGCGGCGTGTGCCTGCGTCTGCGGCCCCTCCTGGAGCTCAATTCCAGTGTGAGCGCTATAGAAGCGAGCGCTACAGAAATGAGTCCCGCACACGGCTCCCAGGTTGCGCGCAGGAAGCCCCTTTTCAGGTGGCCCTGGCGGGCCCCCGCAGGCCTCCGGAGGTTGGTCCCGGCCTGCCTCAGCAGGCCCCCGCTGCCTCCTCCTCCTCCTCCTCCTCCTCCTCCTCCTCCTCCTCCTCCTCCTCCTCCTCCTCCTCCTCCTCCTCCTCCTCCTCCTCCTCCTCCTCCTCCCCCCCTCCCCCTCCTCCTCCTCCTCCTCCTCCTCCTCCTCCTCCTCCTCCTCCTCCTCCTCCTCCTCAGGCTGCTCGGGGGGCACGTTGGGGCCAGCTGGGACTGCTCGGGGGGCCTGCTGAGGCCAGCCGGGGCCATCTGAGGGGGGGGGGGTCTGTGCGCGCATGGAAGCCTCACGGAGGGAGGAGCGACACCACCACCACGGGGGCCCCCTCGAGTGGGGAGGTCCACGAAGCCTCTCCGAGCTGGGACAGGGGGCACCTCCCTGGCTTCTCCCGCGGGTGGTCCCTGGTAGCGGTTGTGCCGCTTTTCCTTGCTCCTAGCAGGGTGTCCGACAAGATCATGAATGCGACGGCTTCGCAGACTGCCGAGCAGATGGCCCAGAGCGAGGACCGCAAGCCACGGATCAGGCGTAGTCGTAGTTCGCGCTTATTCAGCGACCACGGCGCGAGCCATGAGGGAGTCATCCGTCAGTGGGCCCCCTGGCTTAAAAACTTGGACCGCCTGGTCAAGCATCCCGGGTTCGAAGTGTTCTTCATGGCGCTCATTCTGGCGAATTCTGCCTGCATGGCCGTGGAAGCTGAGTATCTGGGATACAAGTCCGGTCAGACGGGGGAGCTCCCGGGAAAGCTCGGCGTTGGGCCCCAGGGTTGGGACAACGCCCAGACTATTTTCGAAGTCGTGGAGTACGTCTTTGGTTGTGCGTTTGCCCTTGAGGCGTTGCTGAAATTAGTGGTGTACGGTAGATTGTTTTTCAAGCAGCCGTGGAACCTTTTCGATTTATTCGTCGTGCTCATGTGGGTATTGGAGAAGGTTCTTCCTGTGATTCCCGTGCCAGCCCTTGTCCTGCGGCTGGCGCGGCTGGTCAAGGCGTTGCGGCTCGTCCGTCTCACGCGGACCTTGGAGTTTGCAGACACGCTGAATCTGATCATTGTCGCCGTCAAGGCCAGCCTGTCTGCCTTTGTCTGGTCCTTGCTTCTGATCTCCACAATCACATTGGTAATCGCTTTGGTCCTAAACTACGGCCTGAAGACGTACGTCGAGAATCTTCTCATCGCAGAGGATCCGAGAGAGAGAATCTACATTTACTTCGGCACTTTTTGGAGGAGCCTTCTCTCCGTCCTCGAGCTGACGTTAGGTAACTGGGTACCGATCACCCGAAGCTTGCAGGAAGACGTCAGCGCATGGCTCGCGTTCGGAGTGGTCGCCTACCGGTTGATCATGGAGATCGCTATCTAGTGGCCTTCGACACATCCTGCCAACTTGCCTAGCCCATGGACCTAGGCCTCTCGGGGTACATTGGAGGCGCCTCGTGGGAGCCTCTTGAGAGCCTGTGTTGAGCATCGTTGGGCCTTGTTCGGGCACGCTTGGGGACCTCTTGGGCATCTCGGTGCCTTCTTGGAGTGGTTGCTTCCAGCTACGCGGCGGTGGCACGTGTTGTATGCCTCTCTTGGGTCCGTCATGGGGGCCTCATATGACTTTCTTGGGAGCCTCTTTGGCCCTCGTGGGCCGGTAGTTAGGGCCTCCCGAGTCGTCATGGGCGTTTGCAAGACCGAGAAGGCTGGGACGTTGAAAGCATCTCGAAGCATGACCTGAACCTCTTCGGTCGGCCGTGTGTGCCTCCAAGATGGCATCACGGACCCCCAGGACTGCTCCAGGATGAGCGCGTGGGGGCATCTTCAGACACGTTGAGCAGCTTGGGCCCCAAGGGACGGCTCCAGGGTCTCGGGGAAAGCTACGCGGCGCACCCCAGAAGTACCGCTGCAGCTCCTGTTTCCTAAAAGAGCTCTCTCGGCGGCAGGCAGGGAGGGGGAAGTGAGAATGAAAAGGCCTTCTCAGAAGGCGGCGGGATTTGTCTCTCAGAAGCCCGCTGGCCTTCTGAGAAGTGAGAAGCGTTTCGTGTCTTCGGGGAAGGCTTAGGACACCCGTCAGAAGGCCAGGGGACTTCAGAGCCGTCCGAGAAGGCCCGCCCCTTCTCACTTCCCCCCGAGGCTCGGCACCGATAAAGGAGCATTCGCATATTTCAATTCGGGGGAATCCACGGGGCCCAACCGCACTTCGCTCTCGGTGCCCACGGCACGTCTGCGGATCCTGAAGGTCTTGACGGGCGTGTTCTTGCACGAGACGTTCCGCGTCGCGAAGTCTGACCATGAGCTCATGATTAGGGGGAAGATGCGTGAGAACAAGGCCCTCAGGGTAGGAAAAGGTACCGATCCCGCTACCCTTCCCTCGTTTCCCTATGTGTCTGCCTCCTGGGAGGCCCTCGTCGCCACCGCTGGATTCGCTTTAATATTCTGGTCAGAGCATCCCCGGGAGAGGGAGGTCTGGGGAGTAGTGGTATTGGTACCTGTTGGTTTCCCCAGAGGCGCTCAAGGACCAGATGGCGATCCTGTTCAACGACATGGACACCCACAGTACAGGCAAGGTCCACAGGGAAGATTTCCAGGCCACCTTCAACCACCCGCGCGTGTCACTCTACCTGGCCGCCCTCGGGCTGAGCTACAAGGACGCAAACGAGCTGTGGGGCGTTGTGATGGAGGAGGTGGGGCAGACTCCCAGCGGTGGCGAGGTCTCCACCGACGATCTTACGTGGGCGATCGGCAAGATCCGTGGAGAGGGCCGCAGCGTCAATGTCGTCATGGCGCTGCAGCAGATACGCCGACTGGTAGCCGGCCTGCAGGAGAGCGGCCTCATCTCAGCACCGCTGGCCGGCCCACACGATCCCATCTCCAGGGATCTGCTGGACGACTCCTTCGTCCAGGGCGGCTGCGGCCCATCCGAGACCAGGGTGGCCGAGATCTGACCGGCTCCTTCGCCCAGTGCGGCGCGGACCGACGCTGCGTTCGGGGAGGAGAGGCGGGGGCGCTCTGATGGGCCCTGGGAGGAGGGTCTACCCCAGGGGTGCCTCCAGGGCCTACCCTGGGCCTACCCCTATATAGCCCACCCCTATGGCCACCCTGGGCCTACCCCTAGGGCCTACCCCCAGGGCTACCCTAAGCCCACCCTTGGGGCCTCCCCCTACGGCCTACCCCTAGGGTTATCCTAGGCCTGCCCCCAAGGCCAACCCCTGGGGCTACCCTGGGCCGACCCTTCAGGCCTACCCCTAGGACTACCCTAGGCCTATCCCTAGGGCGTGCCTCTGGGGCTACTCCAGGCCTACCCCTGGGGCCTACCCGCGCAGAGCCGCCTTGGCCGGAGGAGAGGCACGAGGAGGGAGAAGGAGGTAGAGAGGAGGAGGGGGAGGATGAGGAGAAAAAGGAGGAGGAGAAGGAGGAAGGAGGAGGAGGAGGAGGAGGAGGACGAGGAGGATGGATGGAGAGGGAGAGGAGGAGGGGGAGGAGGAGGAAGAAGAAAAGGAGGAGGAGGAGGAGGGGGAGGAAGAGAAGAGGAGGAGGAGGAGGAGGAGGAGGAAAAGGAGGAGGAGGAGGAGGAATTTGTCGCTACACACCCGTCGTGGACGCTCTTCGCACGCCTACAGACACAGCCGCGGAACGGGGGACAAGACTTCTCATACGCCTTACACAACACTGCTGACGGCTACGGACATGTGCTGGGATCCTCAGAACTGGCACAATTTGGGACCTCAGCCAAACACCAAGCCTTGTCACCCCTTACACGCCTTCAGAACAAACCACGGCAATAGGAACAGGCTTCTCATACGCCTTACACTGTACGGTGGGGCGTTGGTTAAGGAATGTGCCCAGGAGGCGCCAGACCCTCGAGGCTCCCTTATCCAATCAGGGCGGCGGTGATATCCATGGCCAAGCCACGATCGCAGTTTCACTGGCTTCGAGACCCTGGATTCCTTATCCATTGGTTCCTTATCCAATGCCTTCACCGCGTCCGTAGCTATTTTGGCTCAAGCGAGCCTGGCTGCGGGATGCCCTCGTGCTGTGCGCCCGTCGGGCGCGTCGGGAGCGCGCAAGAGGCAGATGGAGGCGCCTGGCGGCGCGGCGTGGGCGGCTGCTTCGGCGCGCACGCTGGCGAGGCGCCTGCGCAGGCGGAGGCGCGGCGGGGTTGGGGTGTCCCGATCGTGCGCTCTCGCCTGGAGGACGAAGTCCCTGAGGGCGGGCCTCGCGGCGCATTGGGCCGTCAGCGACGCCTTGCGAGCATGGGGGAGGCCCTCGCCGCCGCCCCGGTGCTCGCAGCCTAGTCCGACCTGCTGATCGACTTCGGGGAGGAGCAGTTGTGTTGGAAACGGCGAATTGGTCTCGCCACGCGGACCGCCAAGCGCCCGCAGGGCCCCTGCAATGCCGCGCGGCGTCCCTGCGACTTCCTTCGAGTCCGTGCTCACGCTGCAGGCCTTCCCACTTCGGGGGGGCGCCGTGCCGTTCATCTCCGAGCCAGGGTGACAGGGGGTGCAGCACGGGCACGCCGCTTCCGAGGTGTTCTTGGAGGGCGTGCGGATGGAACACGAGGAGCCGACGGATGCCGGTGCCGGTGCTGAGGACCCTGCCACAGGCGCCTTCGCGCCGTCGCCGTATGCTGTGGCCAGCAGCTGTGAGGACAGCGAGGGCGACTGTTGCAGCAGCGAAGAGGGCAGCCTCGGTGCGGGGTTTGGTGTGGGAGACGCGGAGGGGGCCACGGCCTGCTGCGCCCTCCCCGCCACCTCTTCGGGGCCCAGCCGCGACGTCCTGGAGTACCTGGTCCGCTACGATGCGGCGGTTCTAAGCGGCGGAGGCAGCGACCCACCGTGCGAGGGGAAGGTCGCTGATGCCGTGCGCGGCGATGCCGTTGTGGGGTCCACCTGGTGGCGTGCGCGGGCGGGCGTGGCCTGCGCTTGGCTCGGCGCGCCCGACGCCGAGGAGCCCCTGCGCGACGAGGGTGCCGCAGTAGCGAGGGACCAGGAGTCGGATGATCAGCAGGAGGAGCCGCGCGGGAGGCGCCTCGAGCAGGCTTTCCTGCTGGAGAGGCCCGAGAGCCTCCAGGCCCGATTCGCGCAGCTAGCAGCCCAAGCTTCGCGGATGCGGGAACTGGCTGGCGCACGCGATGTGCAAGAATGGGTGGGCGCGAGGCTGCTCTCCATGGAGCTGACCGTGGACAGCGTCAACGCCGCGCACTACATGGAGGAATTTCGCTGAGCGGCCAGGGAGGGTCGCATCACCGCCGCAGATGCCGCGGAGATCGCGTCGCGCTCTGCGGCGGGGGCGTCGGCGATCGAGAGAAGGTTCGCGGGGGCTGGCGAGACAGACTTCCGCGACAACTTGGGGTGCGAGGCCGAGGCGGAGGTGCTTCTCGACGCGCTGGGGCTCCCTGGCGGCGAGGCGCATGCTCTGTGGCATGGCGGCCCCGTGTGAAGGTGGTCGAGATGGAGCCGCGGCGGCAGGCCTGGCTCCGCCGCCATGCAGGCGCGCTTGAGTTGGCCACCTGTCGGAACGGCCCTAGAGATTGTAGTGGCTGCTGCGCGCCGGCCATGGCGAGTTGCAAGGGGGCAGCGGACGCGGCGCGCGTGGGCGTCCTGGACGGCGGGCTCGGGCGGCTGCGGTCCGCGGCGACCCGCGCGGAGGGCGGCCCCCGCCAGCTGCTGCGAGCCGTGGGCGCGGCGAGGGGCCGCGGCCGAGCGGGGGCGGCGGGCCCCGGGGGGGCGAGCACAGCCTGCCATGGGGCGCTCTCCCCCGACCCTCCCCAGAAAAACAAAAAAAAAGAAAACATGCTTTCGCCGCGCGAGCGGCGCGGCCCGCGCCGCGCGCGCGGCGGCGGGGCGCGGGGGCTGCGGGCCCCGCAGGGGCGAGCCGTGGCCATGAATGGCTTGCCCCGGGGTGTCCCGCTTGTGCCCAGCATGCTTGAGTTTGACAAGGTCGCCCGCGCGCCTGCGAAGGGTTTCTAGACGTGCCCTCGCCGTCGGTTGCCATTTTGGCCCAGGCCGAGTTGTGGCGCGGTCTCCCGCGAGCCCCGCGGCAGTGGCGCGGCGTGGGGGCTACTCTCGTCGAGGCGGCGGCCAAGGGCGCCGCCGTGGGCGGAAACAGCTGCCAGGTGGAGGCAGCGGCGGCCGCTGCGGCCTGCTGGCGCGTCGTGGCTTCGGCGCAACCTGCGCGAGCCTGAGGCGGCGGCGTCGAGGAGCTTGCGGCGCGCCTTGCCGCGATGGTTCCGGCGATGCTGCAGCGCATCCAGGTGCAGTGGCCCGATGGGCAGGCGCGCTTGCGCCGCGGCGCCGGCGCCCGCTGGCGCCTGGCGCCTGGGCGACGCTGATCTCCCGATCGAGCTGCTCGAAGAGGCCTTCCCGGGCCCGCGGCGCTCGCAGAGGGGGGCGCGCCAGCGCGCGCAGGGCGCGGCGGAGAAGTCCGATGTGAAGGATGGCGCCACAGAGGGGCCTACAGAGTTCAGATCGGCTTCAGAGATGGAGGACAAGCCGCTCGCCGAGCTCACGGGGCAGGTGCTGGGCGAGGAAGCGCAGCAGGAGCCCTGCGGTAAGCGCGTCAAGCTGGCGAAGGCGTTAGCGTTCCTCGCGAGCGAGGTGGCGCAGATCAAGGCCTAGCTCGCGATGGCGATCAAACCTGAGAGCGGGGAGGTGGCGCAGGATGGCATGGGCGGCCCGGCCAGGATGAGGGCGATGATCGAAGCGCCCGCGAAGTGCAGGAAGCCCGAAGACAAGGATAATAGTGAGGACCTCAACGAGTCCCACGAGCTCGGCGGCAATCAGCATGAGCTCGGGGTCATCGTCGCGACGGCTGAGGGCGCCCTGCAGGATTGGAAGCTGCAGTGCAAGTTCGACGGTGGCGACAAGGACATAAACGAGGACGGCGCGAAGGCGTCGGTGGGCGGCGCGGCGACTCTCTGCGGGGAGCGCGTGGCCAAGCAGAAAGAGCAGGAAGGCGCCGTCAAACGCTTCGCGATGTCCAAGGGCTCGGGCGACTCGACGGCGCTGGCCAACGTGGTTCAGCTTGGCAGGACAGTCCAGCGCGCGGCGGCGCTGCCCCTGGCGTCGGCCGCTGAGGCCGCCGCCGCGCAGGCTAAGGGTTTGCCGCCCTGGGCTCCGGAGCCGTCAGCTGGAGGGCTCGGAGCAGAAGGCGGCGGTGGGCTCCGAGGGGCTTGGCGGGCCCCCGCACTACCCCCCGCCCCCGATGGCCGGGGGCGCGCCCGCGCCCCGCTCAGGGGGGGGCCTGCGGGGAGGCGTTGCGCAGGCAGGCGGCTCTCGTGGAGTCGGCCGAGGCCAAGGCCGAGGCCGCGCGGCGGGCGTTGCAGCGGCGCCGGGCGGGGTGGCGGCGCTGCCGCGCGGCTGCGGATGTGGCAGAGGGCCCAGCTTACCAAGCTCAAGGCCACCCTCAGGAAGCAGGCGAGCCGAGGCCGTGGCCCTCGGAAGTGAGTTTGCATTCGGCCTGAGCGGATGCGGCGGCCAGGATCGAGGTTGCACACCTCGGCTGCCTCCGTGCAGGCCAGCCGTGGGCGGCGCTGGCGCCCCATGCGATGGTGCTGCAATCCGCGCCACGGCCCCGGCGCGCCCCCCCGTGGAGCACGACCCTTGGCCGTGCGGCCTCGGGGAACTCTTCGGGCGCAGTGCGAGCGCTGTTTGGCCAGCGTTGAATTCGTGTTTGCACGCGTTCGCGGTCGCATATTTTTCAAAACAAAAAAAGAAAAACGCCTTCGCCGTGTACGCGATTTTGTCACATGCACGTGCTGGCATCGATGCTTGACAACGCGCGCTCGAGGACAATTGGAGATATTGCGATGTCCGTTGCAACGCTTCATGCATCAAGCCGTTGCTCTTTTCGGCCCCTGTCTTAGTTTCGCACATGTTCTGTTTTACGAGCACTGTCTAGCATGGCGACGCGCAGCACCCATCAGCAAACCACCACGAGGAGCGCTGAAATTGCACCTGCTTCATTCATGGAATGGCAGCCGCAAGGCGTACTTCATGTAGGGGCATGAAAGGTGCGCCAGCAGACA